GTACCCCCCATCCTTTCTCCCCCCCCCTCTCTCTCTCTCTCTCACCCACCTCCCTCTCTCTTCCTCTCTCATACGGCCACTCTCTCACTCACAAACAACATCATGCAGATACACTCAAATCATTATATACAGACATAAGTGGGTGGTTGGAGGGTTCTCTGGTATGGTTTGCTCATTCTTTCTCCTATCAAGCATCTATCTTCCTTATCTCTCCTCCTTGTCTTATGTGTTTGTTACTCTTTTGTAACATATCTAATCTTCAGCACTTATATGACCTTATTGGGTTGCAAATACCGTAAAACTCTTTTGTGTGTGTGTGTGTGTGTGTGTGTGTGTGTGTGTGTGTGTGTGTGTGTGTGCACACGTGGCGAAACACCAAACCAATGTGCCAGACTCTTGAAAATAAAGATGTATCTTATCTTATCTCATCTCATCTCATCTTAAAACTAAATACAGACATACTACACGTATTTATTCATCCTTCCAACAGCGTGTCTACCGTGCCTGGAGGGACAGTTCCAGTGCCAGAACTGCCGCTGTATACTGCAGGCAGCCAAGTGTGACTACAACAACGACTGTGGGGACGGCAGTGACGAGACAGAGGACTGCTGTGAGTCATGCAATTCACGTTTAAAAAAAACAAGAAAAAACCTCCCTCTGTCCCTAATTTGCGAATGTATCGGAAATGTATCTGGGGTAGGCCCAGAACAACATACTTAGGGAACCTAAACAAATGGGTAACAGGGAAAGATCAGGGAAACGTAGCTTTTTTGAGAGCATCCGAGCAAAGGAATGAATGGAGAACCATGATCGACGATGTCTGTCGCAGATCTGGCACTGGATGATGATGATTGGAAATGGAAGTTGCATTCAGAACCCACTCCCCTCTGCCTCAAATAACATTACACTGTTGCAAGGGACATTGACATAAATTTAACCTATTTGTTTTTAAGTCTCGGTTGGTTTTGCACCCAGGACAATACTGTATTTAGAAATAAAAATGATAAAGAACCATAATGAGAATAATCGATTTGGTGCGTTAGGGGCCGCATGCCCCAAACAAGCAAAGTCTGGAACTCAAATCATCGTCACCCACTGCCAAATCCAATGTTTTATCTTCAGTACGAATATTGCATACTTAGATACGTACAAGCTTTTTTGTATTAGTGTTACTCTGTGGTAGCTTGGGACTGATGCTTCGGTCATTATTGTTGTTGTTGTTGTTGTTGTAGTTGTTGTAGTTGTTGTTGTTGTTGTTGTTGTTATTGTTGCTACTGCTGCTGCTGCTGCTGCTGCTGCTGTTGTTGTTGTTGCTGTTGTTGTTGCTGTTGTTGTTGGTGTGTGCAGAAACGTCATTGCTATTGTGCAGCCCCAAGAAGCGTACTTCACGACAGGGGCAATACTAGTGCTGTTGTAAAAAGTACAATTCTATCTATCTATCTATCTATCTATCTATCTATCTATCTCTCTATCTCTCTATCTATCTATCTATCTATCTATCTATCTATCTATCTATCTATCTATCTATCTATCGATGCACATTTTTTGAGTATCGAATGATATTATTTTCTGTGTCTTTTATTATGTTCCTGGCGCCACTGAGTCTCGCTCCACCCCACCCCCCCCGGACTGTTATTGTCCTCTCGGTCTGTTCACAGCCTATCCGTCGTGTTCCGGATCCCAGTTCACGTGTGACAACCACGTTTGTATCAACCAGGCCTGGGTTTGTGACGGCTCGGATGACTGTGCCGATGGGTCGGACGAACAGAATTGTAGTAAGTTGTCTGGAATGTTTGTAGTCTCTTCCGTCAAGGGTGAATGGGTGAGGAGGGGGGGGGGGGGATTGGAGTGCAGGAGAACTTCATTTGAGGGGGAAAGGGAGGAGGAATATGTTTAGCTTAAAGTTTCGGTCTGGTAATTTACAACAAGTCAACGCGAAAATGACCTTGTATTCTCGTTTTAAAAAATACGTGGAGAATGCTGTGATGTAACAAATGTTGTGAGGCGTTGTTGGAAACTGTTTATTAAAAGTGGCAGTTTATTATACTCGAAAACATGGACGAACGTGAGCCTACTTGCAGTCCATGCACATGACTTCAGAGTAATGGAGACTGATGCTGGGAATCTGTTGGTAAAAGATGTACTTGTAAATGTTTTACACCCCCATCAGCACAATTTAGATAATTCAGAAGGTGGGCTACTTCTACACTACCTTTGTAAGGGCGAATCTAGGATGAGATGGATAGAACGTGGAAGCAGACAGACGGTGATGCGCTATAAAAACCAGTCCCACCCTTGAATCGAACCCACGTCTTCTGCTTGCGACGACGAAGAGCCCAATAGTTACACACCACAGACGCCAGTAAACCTGTTTGTGTAGAAAGGAAGTCTGTATTTTCATCTATGGCGGCATCGCACGTGTGGTGTGAAGACATTGCTATTGAATTTACAGAAAACTACTTCTAGTACCGGAAGGACAATAATATGGACCTTGGCGAAATAGGAAAAGAGAGGAGACAACTCTTTGATAAGCTTCCTCAGTTGTACTGCCTTGAAACTAAGGAGCCTGTCTTACGTGTTTAGCTCATGAAAAATATGAGACCAACAGGCGCGGTTGGTCCATAGAGCACGGTCGTGCAGTGCCGCCCAAAATTTTTGAATGTCCTATGACGTAAAACACCTTCAATAATAAAATAAAAGAAGCCAGAAACAAACACTAGCCAAATATTATATCAAAACGAAGGTCCTCACTGGCGCCATAACTGTCATTTCTATGTCTATAGCGCCGTAAAATATCTACTATGCCATGCCAAAGTCCACGCGCTTTAGCTAAACAGAAAAGGATATTCAACAGTGTAACCTGACCTATAAATCGCTCTTGGGGATAAACCAAGCGATGACGACACTCGTAGGAGTTTGGCGGTACATTAATATTTATACGCCGGCACATGTGCTCCTGCCGAATAGTGC